GGAGAATAATTCCACATGTCTCTCTCTTTGATACTTTCTATCTGTCTATCTATCATCTATTTATCTATCAACTGTCTATCATCTATATATATTATCATTTATCTATCTGTCTATCATCTATCTCCATCCCTGTCTCCGTCTCCATCTGCATGTCTCCTCTCTACTGTTGTGATCCCCAATATTCTGAGGAACCTCCATAGTGTACATGGTCACATTGCCATAATGCGGTTGCAGAAGCTAGGCCTGTGTAAGTCACTTGACATTTGGCATTCCAGCATCTCTTCTGTAATGTAGAAATTAAGTAATACCACAGGAGCACTGTGAGGAATTACAATAATTTATGCAAGGTGTTTCGCCTGGTGTTTGGCACAGTTAAACACAAAATAAAATTGCTAGCTATGACTGACTAGTAATAGCGCTTACTCTTGCTGCTTTTTTTTTTCTTAGTGTTCCTTCCCTTTCATCTCGTGAGAGAAGGTTGTCGCTTATTGAGATTCACTGAGCCAGCCATTTGTTGGTGGATATATTAATTTAAGCAAAATAAAATATTTCCTCTTTCCTAACCTAACTCCCACTTTGACAGTAAGCTACATTATACGTCTTCCTGCCCCTGACAGGAAATACCCTGCATTACAGAGACTCAAGAAAGTTTGTAAGAATGTAAAGGAACTGCTGGGCCTGGTTTGAAACTCCAAACAGCTGAGGGTTATAGAAGGGTTGTAGCCATTGCATTGGCTGAGATTGCAGTCCTGGCCCAGCTGTAAGTTCATCACAGCTGCATTCAGGCCATTTGATGAGGGACAAACCAGGTGTACTCACATATGAATCGGAACTAACGCATCAGTTATTAAAAGTGATCCTGACTCATTTCAGTGTTCCTCTCTGATATTCTGGGCTCTAGTATCTCATCTAGTAGGGAAATCTGCTGAAGACCATCCCTTACACCAGTTTCCCAGTCCACAGTGATCTACATACTAGAGACTCACACATAAACCCTTCCTATAATTACTGTGTCAACAGTCCTAACGCACAGGACTATTTCAAGTTTGTTTAAATGTTTCTTGACAGGAAGAACATTTTTTTTCCAATTGGACAATTCTTCTCCATAAGAAAGGCCATTATAAGTCAAGCAAAGTCTTTACAAAGTAAGAGAACATTGGATTAAATTCTACTTCTTGTACACATCTACCTTATATTTACATACCCCCTGCTTTGTCTGCTGAGAGTAAAGCATAGAAATAAATGCCAAATGAGGAAGTTTGTTGTCTAGACAAGGCTGAAATTACTAAGAATGGCTTGGAATAGTATTTACTTTTTATTAAAAACGAGACAGGGAACTGAACCTAGAAGTTCCTAAAATACCATGTTAAAAGAAGACTGGGTGAGAAAAAGTATTCATTAATAGCTTTTGCTTTTAAATAAAACACAGATGCCAATGGGTCATCCCATGACTTATCATAGGATGTCAGTGTTGAACACATTTTCAGTTCCCCAGGGATGCATTCTCCCCACAATGACCTTGCTTTCCATTCATTTAAGCTAAAATATATAGAAACAAGCAATGCATGTTTAATAATGAAACATTTCAGCAACAGATTATAGACCTGCTCTGGGAAACACATTCAGAGTTATTCCTGCTACACTAATGTTTAAATATGTCTATAGTCTTACTCAAGAACATAGTGGTTTCCCTCCTCATATTCTTAAGATGAATTTCTATCTAAACAAGGGCATCGCAAACCATATCAATTCAACATGAACATGATGAAACACTGAATTTGTTTCTGTTGCTAAACACCATGGCCCAAAACATTTTAGCAGGAAAAGGTTTATTTTAGCTTATGGTTTGTTGTTTGCCATCAATGGAAGAATAAGTGTAAACTCAAAACTGTAACTGAAGCAGAGACCACAGAGGAATGCTGCTTGCAGATCTGCTTATCAGGCATACAGTTCTGCTTTTTGTATAAACTAGGACCACCTGCCCACCACACACTATGAATTCCTCCCACTTCAAACATAAGTCTGGAAGAGATGCTGCCATTGACTTGCCCACAGGCAGTTTCCTGAGATTCCTTCTTCCCAGGTGATTCTATTGTATACCAGGCAATACTCAGCAATAAAGATGGATGAATTATGTAATCATGCCAGGTGGTGGTGACACAGACATTTAATCCAAGCACTTGGGAGGCAGAAACAGATGGATCTCTTTGAGTTTGAGGACAACATGGTCTACAGAGTGAATTTCAGGACAGCTAAGGCTATATATAGAAAACCCATCTCGGAAAAAAAAAACAAACAAAAAAAGAATTATGTAGTCATTTATCTTCTGTTTTTAGCTTTGAAAAAGAAGCTAAAACTTTTTTAAAAAATATTAAAAGTGTTGTTAACTAAATAATTTTCATCAAATTCTAATAATGATTCACAAAATGCATTTTTCTAACTTCTATAAAGACAGACTAATACTTTTTTCTGTGTCAAATCCAGTGTGTGGATAAATTATTTTGCTGGTCTGTTTTTAAACAATTAAAGACTGGTAAGAAAGTCTGTCCATGGGGATCACCTGGAAACATAACCACTCATAATGCCCTGTGTCCCCACTATATTGTGCTAAGCATGGCTTAGGCCTGTTGTATTACTAAAGTCTGTAGGGTGACTAAAATATTCAGCCCTTGACACTCAAGTGAGGCTGAGGGGCATCAGCACCATCTTTACCTGTGCTTATCAGAAAGATATTTAAGATATACTTCACCTGCATCAGAGCCATGCATCTAAAGAGTGGGATTCATTTCCTATGAAAATACAGGACCAATGCTATTGCATCCTTCCTCCATTAATCAACTTTTAGTTGTGAATGAAATACCCTCAATAACTTAGAAGGAAGAAAGGTTTATTTTGACTTTGATTTAAAAAAAGAAAGGGCAAGGCTGGGATTTTCTATATTCCAACTGAAGCAGATGTATCATAAAACTTAAAATCTCCCTGCAAGCTATACCTAAAACTCCACAGTAGACCTGGACTTCAAAGATGTCTCTCAACACCAGCAATTTGGCAACTAAGCCTTTAACCAGTGGTTTTTGAAAAACATTCCAAGACACATATGAACTCCAAAATTCTCATTCTTTTAAAGTTACCCAGAACTCTTCTACAAAACGAGGGTCCTAAGCCATTCTGTATTCTCCAACTCTACATTTCTAATTTCATAAACCTAAGCAAATATAATACTGAAAAAGTTGATAAATATTGTACTCCAAATACATCCTCATAGTTTTGTGTATACTTTCACTCATCTAGAGTTATTTTCTCTTTTCTCCTCACAGGGACTCATCATTTGACATCTAAAGACCGACCTCTGAAACAATGAAAATTCATGTATGTTTTCTGATAATTCCATAGGTCAATAGTGTCATATTGTTTAGATCATCAACTGCATAATATCTTGTTTCCTCAATTAAATTATAAGTAACCTGAATAAAAAAATCATGTTATGTTCCTTTTCAGTCCTAATTTGGCACCTTATTTTGTAAGTGAATAACATATCTAATTATCCCACTAATCTAACTATCTTATTTGCTAAAAGATTATCTCTGGAGCTTCCCCGTGATAGACCCCCATGGTTATTCAGCTGCTTTCACATGTAGCTGCCTCACAAGCAGCTGGGCTTTGCAATTCCTTTTGCTGCTGCCTTAAAGCTTGAATGGCTCATAATAAATCTGCTTAACTAACATAGAAACTGGGCAGAAAATGCTTTAACCTTTAAGTGTTAATATGCAAATACTGGACTTCTCATATTCCTTAGCCCTGTGCCCGTCTCGTTCACCATCATATCTCAGTGTTTACAAATACTGCATGCCAATGAACTATAAACATTCTTTCAATAACCTATGCAGAAACAAAAATAATTCTAAAATAGACCATGAGCTCACAGTAACATCTGACTATATAACTTTTATCTGTAGTTCTTACATGTTTTTTTTTCTTGGTAATTATACATTTTATACTGTACAAATAATAACCAGTAATTACAGAAAATATCTATTCTGAAGTCAGTGTGGTGGCTCAGAAAATAATTCTACTTGTATATGGAGCCAAGTCTCATGATTTCAGTGACTTTCATGAGATACAAAGTTGGAGGAAAGAACTGACTCCCACAAGTGGTCCCCTGATTTCCAACATGAGACTGTACCCACACATATGTACAAATAAATAAATATAGCAGGTTTTTTACACAAGGAAACTATTTTATAAAATTAAAGAAAAAACAATTACTTAAATTATGCATTCCACACATAACCACTACAAACATTAGTTGAGATAATCAATTTACATGCTAGTATGTATGTCTACTATTCAATACCAAAATATCAAGTCATCAAGAAAATCACCAGAAAATTAATTTGGATGGTTGCTTTAATATCTGTGTCAAAATTTACATAACAATTGATCATTGGAATATTGTTATTTCAGTTTTTGGTAATTATACACAATGATATGATAAACAATATTTATCACCAATATCCTTTAATCTACATATCTTTAGATTAAAAAATCACTGGGTAAGGCCACTAACTTTAGAAACTACATACAGTTTACTGCCAGTATTGAAAGAGTTAAGTACATGAACAACAGTATAAATAAATGTTTATAATGTTGGATTTGACACAATACATCAGTGGGTAAAATGCTTGCTGGGCAGTTCAGTCCCCATGACCAATGTAAAGGGAGATGGAGAAAACTGACAGCTGAAAGTTGTCCTCTGCCTCCTGCATGTGTGTTCTCATTCACATATATATGTATATATGTATCACACGTGTATGCAGGAACACACACACACACACACACATACACTAATAAAACATACTTGAATGTTTGTTCTATTATAGTATGTCTTTAAGAGTTAGGAGTTATGTAAATCAATAATCTGTTTCTTGGCAATTTAATTTCTTAGAGAGTCGCAAAGATTAGAACGTAATAAACAAACAGTACTGTTGAAAAATACTCACATTCTTTTTGAGGGTAAGTTTCAGGTTGGAGAGGTTTGAATTCATAATATGGTATCTCATGTTTGAATATAGATGCAAGAACACCATCAAGCTCTTTGATGCTTTTCTGTTTTCAAATGGAAAGGACATTGAAAATTAGCTGATAGGAAACTCATGTTCCAGTGAATGACCCCACTCCTATGAATACATAGGTAGCACTAACTGAACTTAATGTATTATAAAATAGAAAGACATGAAGTTAAGAGTGAGATATATTGGGGGCAAGAGAATTGCAGATGGAAATGGGGTATATATATGCTCACATTTCACTACACACATGTACAGAAAGTACAACAGACGTCTTGTTTAGCAAAGGACAAAGTATCGGTAAAATAACCACCGGTGTGTTGTGCCATGGTCTTAATGGGAGGTGAACCCACTTTCTATGTGAAGTTGTATCATCATCACATTCAGATGCCTGAAGGGAAAGTCAACGTTTAGACAGAACAGTCTATGGTGAGCCAGAACCAAGGTCTATGCTTGGTTATTCGAGGGAAAGATACTAAAGTCACCTCCTTTGTCCCACTGTTCATGAGAAGGGACAGGAAAGTAAGCCAAGTTAATCATTTAAACAGGAATTTGATAAATAATTTGTATAATATATTTTATAATTTCCTGATTAAGCTTATAACAAAGCAGATATAGATACACAAGTTGAAAGAAAATGCTTCAGAGCAGCAGTTCTCAACCTGTGGGTCATGACCCCATTGGTGGTGGAGCTACCCTTTCACAGGGGTCTTCTAAGATTATCTGAAAACGTGGGTATTTACAGTAAAATTTATAACAGTAACAAAATTACAGCTATGAAGTAGCAACAAAACTAATTTTATAGTTGGGGTGACCACAACATGAAAAATTGTATTGAGGGACCACAGCATTAGGAAGCCTCAGAACCACTGCTTTAAAGGGTTAGGCAAAGTCTCTCTCTCTCTCTCTCTCTTTCTCTCTCTCTCTCTCCCCACTTCAAAGAATTATTAAGTAAATTTAAAAGGAAACATCTTTAGTAAAAGCAATATTTTTCCCTAGTCAAGTTAATTTTTCTAACTTTCAAATCAGTCATTTCTCAACATTGTGACCATGAATATCAAAGTAAACATTAAAAGTCAAGGCAACGTAAGACTTTAAATTATTTTGTATATGTTGCTGATTAGATGTGTGTGTGTGTGTGTGTGTGTGTGTGTGTGTGTGATTATAGAGCCTCCTTAACTAATTTGTAAATAACACGGTAGGGAAAAATGTTTTGAAATCCTGATCCAGGTCTTTGTGTATCTTGGTAATATGTAACTGATAGCATCTTTTGAGAACATGAGTAACTAGGTGAAATATCCAGTAACTTAACATTTTCTGATGGAGTTCGTAGCTATCGATGAAATGAAATTACCCCAAACTAGACAAAAGTCTGCTCAGAACTCTGTGTGGAAACTCAGTCTCCCATGGCAAGGTATCCTCTTCTCGAACAAACACATCAGTCTGTTATTCACATCTGAAATTCTAAACTGAAAGCACATAGCTTTTAAATTATTTAGAATGAAGTTTTACTTCTGTAATACAGAGACACAGAGCGACAATGGCATAAACAAGACTGAGCTCCGTGTCTTTTAAACATAGAAACCAGCAATTCTGCAGCTCTGGCCTGACACAGTGGCTCTCTGTGACTGGGGATCTAGGCTTGTACTAGAGGTTTAACTGCTTCCCATTGTCTTTCCAGTTGAAGATGGCTTGTCTGTTGCTTCCATGTTGGCCTTTCAGACAATCAATAGAAAAGACAGTGCCAGGAAAGCATGACTACTTGCTGTGGATGCTTCCAAATTTGCATGTGGCTGTCATGGATATGCCATATCACTGCATTCAACTTAGACATATGTCTACTTGCTGGCTGCAAAGGAGGAAACGCAATATTCATCTGAGCGGCCATGTGGATACAGATAGTGACTGGCAGAGGATGGAAAATGTGAAGGTGGCAGCCACAGGGGGCTGATTAGTGGGTACAAAAAAAAAAAATAGACGCAAGTGATACGTTCCAGTATCCAGAGCACAGTGAAGTGGCCACAGCTGACCCAAAACTATTACGTACAATGTTACGCACACAAGGGGAGGAGCCTGTGGTGTACAAATGAGAATTGATGAGGAGTGAATGCCAATCACCTGTATTTTATCAGTTTTCAGTGGGCACACGTTGGAATATCATACTGTGGCAAGTCACTGGGTATAATTATTACATTTTAATTTTAAAAGAAGACATGGAGTGCCTCCATATATTTGAAAACCATATATTTGTTATAATCTAATAATCTAATATTTCATCTCTGAGCATAAACGTATCAGGTATTTGAGTCTGAAGAAACCACAGAGAGCAAGAGTTCTAGATTTTTCATTGGACACCTGAAAAATTCTTCAGCATGAAAGAAACTCATCTCCTATGATGCTGGTGGTTGTCATTTCAATAAGAAATTATAACTCATACCCATGACCCACCCAAATCTCTCCTTTGCCATGTTGCTACCATCCAGAAATGAGAGATAATATGGAGCCTTTTGGAAAAGTCCTAAGATCTCAAGCATTTTTAAAATAACAATATTCCCTTAATATCCATAGGACAGTTAAGACAGCTTTTGTAGTCTCTAAGTCAATATCAAAGTGTACTAACTGAAGATCCATTAGTGTAGTAAAAGAAAGATGAATTACAGCACAATTTTCCGTCTGCCTGGTATAATGCACTTAAGAGAGTTCATGACTGTATAAGCAGATTATTTCACGTATGAACCACAATGTATTTTCATGGGGTAGTTCCACTTCTCTCACTACCTTCTTTGCATATTTGGTCTATATTTTTTCACTATGTGATTCAAATAGTGTCAGAGAGGAAGGTGTCACTTGAATTTCCCCCATACTCTGAAGTAGTAAATACAAGGAAGTAACTGTGTGAAATACATCGGTTTCACAGAGATGGAAGACACAGCCCATCCTTTAATCAAGTTCCTTGGGGGCAGGAAGAGCAGTGGTGTATTTTTACATGGGATGAATGAGTTCACAGAGCAACCAAAAGGAACACAGGGGACACAGGATCATCCAGCAAAGAAACACAAAGGAATCCTTTGATAAGAGACGGTCCTGGAAAAGATTTTGGACCTAGTATCATGTGCATTGAAATGAGTTGGAACATCCTGTGCAACACTGGAAGTTGGCTGCCGGTGAACATTCTGGATGACACTGGTGCTGCCCCCTGCATGGGAGCACTCTGGACAACACTGGTACTGCCCCCTGCATGGGAGCACTCTGGATGACACTGGTGCTGCCCCCTGCATGGGAGCACTCTGGACGACACTGGTGCTGCCCCCTGCATGGGAGCACTCTGGATGACACTGGTGCTGCTCCCTGCATGGGAGCACTCTAGACAACATTGGTGCTGCCCTCTGCATGGGAGCACTCTGGATGACACTGGTGCTGCTCTCTGCATGGGAGCACTATGGACGACACTGGTGCTGCACCCTGAATTTTCACCTTATATCAAACAGGGCTGCTGAAAATAGGAAGGTTTGCATCAATATGTTGAGACACACAAGAGTCTAATGAAAAATGTAGAAAGTTACTAGAAAGAAAAGAGGTTTCCAGTAACCCTTGAAGACAATCTTCAACGGACACAATGGGGCAGATTACACACCAATTAACAATGACTATAACAGCATGCACTAGACCTGTGCACGCTCAAGCCAGACAAACCCCAGTGTGAGGGTGAGCAGGGCACTTGAACCCCTGCCCCTGTTGCAGTGCTATTGGTGTTTGGGAGCTGCTGGGAGAGGGGAAGTCAGTTTTCTTTATTTGTATGATCCCTGGTAGGTGGACTGCTCTCCAGAGTATTTGGCTATCACAGACTGGACTAGACAGGACTAAAAAGAAACAGAAGAAAGATACAGAGTTGGGAGAGAGGGGGGAGTAGGTGATTTGGAAGAAGTTGAAGAGGAAAAATGATTATAATCAAAACATATTGTATAAATTTCACAACAAACTAATAAAAGTATTATTAAATGTATATTTTAAGGAAAAAGTCACAGATTGGGTAATATATGCACTTTAGTAATATGAAATTAAATATACATATATGCAGAAGAAAATAAGATTTACTGGGTGTAAAGTAAAATATATAGTGTGATACAGATATGTAACACAAAGATGCCTTTTACTTAAAAGAAGTGCAGCTAAGAAGAATTATTTCTTATATTTCAAGTATTTTTTAAATGGGGTTAGAGAAATGACTCAGCAGATAAGACACTTGTTGCTTTTTCAGAGGAACCAAGATCAATTCCCAGCACCCAATATGGGCAGTTCAAAGCCACCTACAACTTCAGCTCTGTGGAATGGATGCCCTGTTTTGGCCTCTTCAGTCATGCACATACATGTGGCAAATACCCAGATAGACATACACACATAGGCATGAATAAAATAATTTAAAATTCTCTTAAAGAACAAGATGATCATATTTTAATCAATAATTACTATATTCTTTTAGCACTTGACCTAGTTTCACTTCCTAGTTTTTCTTAGTGATTTCTTTAAAAAAATTAACATTTTTGGGGTACTCAAGGCTCTTGTGTAAATAGGAATAAAGTCTCACGGGTTTTGATTATCTCAGTTAAAGATAAATTAAAGTATTTCTAACTACAGTATTTGAATATTAATTATCATACCAAACTAAGTTTAGTTATATTTTTATTTGAATATCTCATGCTCTCTTTTTTAAGTGATGCACTATAATTTAACGTTTATTAGGCTTTGTACTAGGATTTTAGCATTTATCTTCCCTGAAAGGAAGTAAAATGAACTGATTTATGTAGATCATTAAGTGTTCTAAAACCTAATGGACATCGTTAAAACAAAACAAAGTCAGTTTTCATTAATTCATTATTAAAATTCATGGAATGTTTATGTTACTTATGTTACTATGTGTTCAATAGCTTTTAATGACATATAAAGTCTCTTATTGTATTCTAGAAAACTGAAAAATAAAATCCACAAGTTTCTCATTAATTATTCTTTCCTCAAATTCACACTGGGTTTATACTATTATATGCCTAATAGCATTTAAATGGCTATAGCAGGATCTTGTTAACAGTTTCAGGGTTACTGAAGTCATATCTGCCATTAAACCACATGGGAAAGCTCACAGAAGATTTTACAGTATGCCGGTGTGCCTTTTCAGCCAAACAGACAGAGTAAATTCACACTTGCTGGTACATTTTCTTGCAAATAAACAATAATTATGGTGAGTATGATTACAATGTGTGTTGGGTTTTGAATAGAGGTATTTGGTGGACCATTTGCAAAGCACACAAATTATTGGTCTTAGTGACAGCATCATAAGAAAGGAATAATCACTGTAGTGTTCTGTGTGAACTCCACAAAGAAGCGTGTGCACAACTGGCCTTAATAAAAACAGTAAAGGAATGAATGTCTCTTCAGGTCCTCCTCTGTCAGATGTAGGATTTTCCCTGTGGTGTGCCAATGAGTTTACAGATAACATGTGCCAATTTAGAGGAGCCAGGTTCACATGCACCTTATGCTCCAGGGAAAAGTTACTCTTCCTAGATGCTTATGGAACACTTGGGCTGCCCTAGGACCTAGTGTACTTGCCCAGAGCCCAGTGCAGTTACCTTAATCTGCCAGTACTTCTTGGGCACTGAGGTCAGCAGCAAATCATCACACCACTCCCCACCCAGGCACTTTAACCCTACCTGTAAAGTGTCTCTGCTAGGCAACATTTTTGTTGTTCACAGGTTAGACTGGTTCTGTCTCTGGAGACTCGGTACACATGTGAACCCTGCTAGGAGGCTGAATCTAATCTGTCTTCCCTTCACAGAGCCCTGGACTTGGAAAAGAGGGAACACCAAGGCATGGCCACAGTTCTTCTCACCTCTCACTTCAGACACAGGGTAAAGGTAAGCAGAGCTTTTTCCCAATTTCCTAAAATCTGCACATTTACTTCAAGCTACAAAGGAAATCATGACTTTCACATTATTTTATTCCAAGAATGTATCCAGGCTCCATACATTTAATTCTCACTACATACAAACTGTCTCTTGGCATTAAACCCAGTTCAGACATGTATTTGGGGGATATTTTACTTCTATACCAGTTGTAAACAGAGAATGCTCAATATCCCCTTTTATGTAAGTTTTAGTTAAGAATAGAATTTTTAGTAGAAGGCAAGGTAGACTTGTCACAGGAAAATGAAGAGGTCTGTATCTCACGCTATTATGTTTGCACTTGTTTTCCAACTGTTAGACATTTTGTTAGGCATTTTGTCAGATGTCCTCAGACTTCCCAGTCTGACAAATTATACTTCACTCTGTGTCCTTTTCTAAGACATTTGCCTTTCCCACTGTTCCAAAATGTGACACTCATAAAGAAGAATGCCAAAGAAGAAAGTGTCACACAAAATAAGTAAAGCCTCCAGGGCCAATCACACAGGTTTGTGGCGGTCTGTCAACATTACCGTCATTGACAGTTTTGTTACATGTCTCAAAGGACTTTTCATGGTAAATATGAAGATCATATTGTTCCGCTGAACCAGCTCACCCTTTCCTCCCACCCACTTCTGCCCTTCTTTCCCAGCAAGGCATTTAAAAAAGTACTTTTACTATAACACCAAGTCTTAAAATTTTTAATTCACATTAAAATACTTATTTTATCCTGAAACTCAATGAAATAAGCAGGTAAGTGATATATTTTCATATTAAGCAAGGTTTCTTCCTATTAATAGTGGGTCAATTTTTAAAAATTGCAGAAACCAAACTAATGCCTTAAGTCCCTTGAAGTTTTAAGATTCTTCCATACGCCCAGCACTGATAGGAAATAGTCTCAAATATGGGCTCTTTAAGGAGACTGGCAATACGTCATGAAATCCCCATCCCTGAGTAAGATTTTACCACAGGAAGGGAAAAGTATGGGCCTGAGGACACTTCTTCACATACCACACAGACTTCTTAAAGAACATGGATGATTCAATTATTTTTACTGTCAGGTAACAGTGAGAATTCCAACAAATAATAATCTAAAGATGTCCACATGAAAGTAGATGCAAGATTCACCCTGGGTCCCCCTGTTTGGTGGTAGTTAGGCTGGTCTGACATAGTCTCACAGGATCAGATAACATGGTCTGACTTTCTTTGGTTTTGTCTTGTTCACATCTAAGTAAAGAAATTCATTTGTCAAGGGTGCTCTTTGAATCTCTGTCTTCTCTTGTCTATCTGTTCCATAACAACTTAAATTGAGCCTGTCCTGCTAGCCCTATTGTAATGGACAAGCTGTCTCTGGTTGGGCATTATCTGGAATGACTTGACTGTGGCAAAGTAATTTGTCTCTGCCACCTCAGAGTTTGGCTTTTCCCCTTCCTGTGGATCACCCATGCATTCACACTCCATAAAACCTTACACCAAACCAAGAATCTTCTCTTCTGTATTAGCCCTTTAACATGTATCATGATTAGCTGCTTAGAAAGATCAACTTACCTGGTATAAACTCTTGTCCGGGTCTGGCATTCTAAATGGACTTTCTGTGGCTTTTACTGTTGAACAGTATTTGATTTCTGTTGTGGCCTTGACGATTCCATCACAGTGGATGTTGACAGTGACTGAACCAGCCGGAAAATCTTACAAAACACAAATAGGAGTTACGCTAAGCACCAAGTATAATGCACACATCACATTATTATGACTTAAACTATGAAAGAAGACTTTATAAAGCTGTAGCATTTCACTTCTAGCAGTTAAAATTTCTTCTGCATTTAATGCTTAAAATCATAAAATGTACATATTTATATTAAATAAACTTGGAAGACAAAAACATATGCCAAAATTATATAAAAAACAAAGTACTAAATTATTTCTCCCTACTGATACACTTTTTTAAAAAAGGTTTTTTAAAATTTAAATTAGAAACAAACTTTTTTACATGTCAGTCCCAGTTCAGTTCCGGCACCCTCCTATCCTCCCCTGTCCCCTCACCAACCCACATCCCATCCCCTTTCTGCTCCCCAGGGAGGGTGAGGCCTTCCATAGGGAGTCTTCAAAGTCTGTCATATCAAGAGCAGGGCCCAGGCCATCCCCCATGTGTCTAGGCTGAGAGAGTATCCCTCTAATGTGCAATGGGCTCCCAAAGTCCTTTTGTATACTGGGGATAAATATTTTTGTAAATATATAAATCATCCTTTTATAATTTCTTAGAATTTAACAAAAACAGTCTATTTTTTAAGCTTAGGTGTTTGTTTCAATTTTATGAACAAGAAGTCCATTAATTGTATACAAGTTTCTAGAAATTTTGTGTAGAAGAAGTAAGATTAAGATTTATTAAAATTACAGAGCATGTAGCAATTGGCTATAATAAGAATCCTTGGGAAAACAAGTATATCCAGAATCTTCAGAATTGTCACTGTGTACTCTGTCCATCCATCTATCCATCCATCCATCCATCTATCCATCCATCCACCCATCATCCACCTTCCCACTCACCCAGCCATCGATCCATCGATCAATCAATCCATCCATCCATCATCCATCCACCCACCCATTATCCATCCATCCACCCTCCATCTAAAGCCTTTCTGTAAACAAGTTGGTCAAAGTGGCTGATAAGCCATACCTTTAATTCTACTGTTATATACCAACAAATTTAAAGTTATACATAAAAAATTGGTGACTTCCATTAAATATTAAAAAAAATGAAACAAAATTTAAAAAAGCAACGCTTTAGTTTAACAAATATAAGCAAAATATATCTTTGGATCTATTTGAAGGCCAAATTTTAACAGCTTTTCACTCTGCCAGTGAGACATTTTTCAAATTCTTCTAAAAAATGTCAGAAGTTTAATGAAAATACCAATATCCCTGAACAGCTGTGAATGTTTAATTTCTTAAAGGTTAGACAATGATTTTGAGTCATCTTGTGAAGTTACTCTCCATCTTTCATTACTTTGTTCAGGTAAGTTCAAAGTCAAAAAACAAAACAAAAAAAAACAACCAAACAAAACAACAACAACAACAACAACAAAACAGGAACCTGAAACTGAATGGAGCTAAAAAACTTCTAACTTCATATTCTTGACAAGACATGTAACATATTTTATAAATTGATATGCACTGAAAAGTATTGCTGTGTTCCAAAGAAATAGACATCCAATAGAGAATAAGGGAAATCACAACAGAGAGTGAGAGCTGCAATATGCATTCTATGAGCTAATGTGGTGACTGTGGGTGGGGGGGGGAAGGAAGTTGGTGTTGTCAGAGCCAAATAAAATTGATTTCAGTAGATTTTATGTGAACTTCAGCTTAAAACATTTTAAAATTGCTTTTCAGAATTACAATATCTAGAAATCATAAATGAAACTGAAATTTACTGATCAATTGTTCCTTCATGCAAGGTCAGCACAGAAAGCCAGGCTTCTTGAAGTACTTTTTATGCTCCTTTCAAGAGATAAGAAGTTATAACTTATATCATCTAGAGCACAGCTTCATAACTAATAAGGAGAGTAAATATTTTTTTTCATATGTTACACATTTCTTTCAAGTTTTAATTAGATTTCCCTCAGCAGTTAGGTTTGTTTCATCATGGTATTTCTGGCACCAGAGGAATATTTGACTTCTTCTGCAAAGAAATTAGTTAATATTTCTAGCTGAAACTTGTAGCATCTTTTAAGGCATTTCTAAGTGGGTACTATTGTAATTTCAAATTGCCTTAGCTATAGGTGCCATTAGAAAAATTTTGGTACCTAGAAAAATCAAGAAATTATAGATATATCAAATTATTGAGCTGGAAATATTGGGAAGTGTTGTCATCAAAGTAGATGGTATTCTCACAGTTACAAAGCTCAGACTGCAATGTTGAAGTGGGTCAAAGGTAAAGAAGTTACCTGGGAAAGGGGTTTGAGAATTTCTCTCCTTCTGGGCATCGATGAATATGATATTAGATTTTCTTTGCATTGCTACCAGCTGAAAATATGTAGTAGTGGTGATATTTCTTATGCAAAGTCAAAAAAAATTGATTCAATTTATTTAAGATTTAGCTCAGCTCAAATTCCACAAATGAGTGACTCTTTAGTGGTATCTATGTTTTTCTAAATGGCGTGTCTCACTTAAAGTGTGTCATTTTCATTCAAGTTTCTAAAAACACCAGACTTCATCTTTTATATGGTTGAACAACATTCCTACAAATACATACATGAATTATACATTTTCTGCACACATTTCTGTTTTGATGATCATGGAAGCTGACTTCATTCCTTGGCCACTGTGAACAGTTGTGCAATTGATATGAGTGTGCAGGTTCCTCCTTCGTAGAATTATTTTCCAATTGGTGTATGTCCCTGGTCAGAACCTTGGGGTCACATGTCAAGGCTATTTTTAGTTTTCTAAGAAGGCTTTCTTTCCATAACACTGTACTGTTACATTGTCTAAAACAGTGTGGGAATTCTCCACTCCTCCTTAGGATGGGGTAGTTTTCGTCTTTTTGATAAAGCCATTATGATTCAGTGATGTGGTGAGCCATGATGGTGTGATTGTGTATTCCCTGATGATTAGGGACCTTGAGAATTTTGCCACATATTTGTTGATTACTTCTTCTTTTACGTGTCTATTTATATGATTTTCCTATTCTTTCTGTTTTGATAATTTTTTAATTTAAATTTGAAACAAGATTGTTTTACATGTCATTGCTAGTTCCTGCACCCTCCCTTCCTTCCCTGTTCCCTCCACCAATCCCCATCTCATCCCCTTTCTGCTCCCCAGGGAGCAGACTTCCACTGGGAGTCTTCAATGTCTGTCATATCATTTGGAGCAGGGCCCAGGATCTTGCCCATGTGTTTAGGCTGAGAGAGTATCCCTCTATGTGTAATGGGCTCCCAAAGTCCATTCATATGCTAAGGATAAATACTGATCCACTACCAGTGGCCCCATAGACTGCCCAGTCCTCCTAACACCCACATTCAGGAAATCTGGGTCAGTCCTATGCTGGTTTCTTAGCATTAAGACTGGAGTTCATGAGCTCCCCCTTGTTCAGGTTTGAATCTCATTACAGGGAAGGACATTTAAGGTAGCCTGTCCACTATTGCTTAGATTGTTAGTTGGGGTCATCCTTGTATATCTCTGGACATTTCCCTAGTGCCAGATTTCTGTAAAACCCTATAATGGCTCCCTCTATTATGGTATCTCTTTTCTTTCTCTTCTCTATTCTTTCCCTGACTCAGTCTTCTGCTCCCTCGTGACCACCCCTCCCCTCCTCTTCCTCCTAACTCTGTCTCCCCTCCCACCATGCTCCCAATTTGCTCTGTGTCTAAAAACCATATAGGAGTGAGTATATACCGTATTTGTCTTTTTGTGACTGAGTTACCTCATTCAGAATGGTTTCTTCTAGTTATGTCCATTTGCCTGCGAATTTCAAGATTCCATTGGTTTTTTTTTTGTTTTTGTTTTTTACTCCCCCTCTCCCACTGAGTAGTATTTCATTGTGTAAATGTACCACATTTTCTCCATCCATTCTTCAGTTGAGGGGTATTTAGGCTGCTTCTGGCTTCTGGCTATCACAAACAATGCTGCTATGAACAGATGTCCTTGTTGTATGAATGTGCATTTTTTTGGGAATATGTCTCTAAGAGTGGAATTGCTGACTTTTGAGGTAGACAGATTCCCATTTTCCTTAGGAACCGCCATACTGATCCCCAAAGTGGCTATATGAGTTCGTACTCCCACCAGCAGTGGAGAAGTGGTCCCCTTTCTCCACATTCTCTCCAATATAAACTGTCCTTAGTGTTTTTTTATTTTAGCCATTCTGACAGGAGTAATATGGTATCTCAGAGTTGTTTTGATTTGCATTTAACTGATAGCTAAGGATGTTGAGCACTTTTGTAAGTGTCTTTCAGCCATTTTAGATTCCTCTATTGAGAATTCACTATTTAGATCTATACCCTACTTTATAATTGGATTATATGGTGATTAGCTTTTTGAGTTCTTTGTATATTTTGAAAATGAGCCCTCTGTCAAATGTGGGGTTGGTGAAGATCTTTTCGAATTCTGTGGGCTGCTGTTTTGTCTTGTTGACTGTGTCTTTTTTGCCTTACAGAAGTTTCTCAATTTCAAGAGGTCCCATTTATTAATTGTTGATCTCAGTGTTTGTGCTACTGGTGTTACATTCATGAAGTGGTCTTCTGTACCAATTAATTCAAGGTATACTTTCTCGTCTAGGAGGTTCAGTGTATCTGGGTTTATATTGGGTTGCTTGATCCATTTGGACTTAAGTTTTGTGCATGGTGATAGATATGGATCTATCTACAATCTTCTACATGTCATCATCCAGTTTTGCCAGTACCATTTGTTGAAGAAAACATACATCTTTTATTTTACAGTTTTCTTATGTATGTATTTAATAGTATAAAGATCTCCTTAAACTATTTGGTTGCATGCTATAAATTAACACAAACACCAAATGGGTAAAAGACTAAAGCTCTCTAATGATACCAAGGAGAAATTTTGAGACCCATAAAACAGCAAGTTCTAAGGCACTGAGGTAGGAATAGGGTTGAGCTATTTGATGAATATCGTATGTGCTTTGGATAATGGATTATAGGTAGGTAATAGAAATGCTGTCTGAAAAATATGCCAG